TCCTCATTCATGGTCCTTTTCTCCAGCATCATTGTTTTTTGCAGGAACGACGGAACCTTAGACTTCAAATGAGGGACTGACACCTAACAAGACCTAGACAAAGCCAAACGAATCTTAGCTTCCGTTATGTGCCGGTGGTTCATCTGAGTTCATCCTCAACATCCTCATCTTTTCTTCCATGTCTCTGTCTCACCATCCGCGTGTACAGTGATCAGGAGCACTCACCAACCTACCAAATTCTGTAGTGCAGGCAAAAGAACCCAAAACATAAAAGAGTGATGGGATTGTGATGTGTGTTGGGGTGCTGTGTGGATAGAGTGGGTTCAGTCTGATCAGGTGAACAAGGTTGGCTGACTAGGAGTTCTCTGAAACTGTCTTCTCTCTACCTCTTTGATCCTCTCTCCTTGTTCTTTTAGTGATGTGAGTCAGCATGAAGACTCTTGGAACCCAAATTGTAGAGCGTTGCTTGGTCTATCGAAGAGTTCGATTGGCATTTGTTAACCAGCCAAATTCCAAGATAAAAAAATGATGTGCTACATCTGTGTGATCCCAAAGTCGCCAAGAAACGGATCAGATGCCGACATGAGGAAATTTTCCTCCATCGTTAGACTTGGAGATGAGATCTACACTTGTGGGGACTGTAACATCATGTTTCCTTTAGTCTTGGAGATGAGATCTACGGTGGTGGGGACGGTAACAGCATGTTTCAGTGTGCGGCTTTGCCAAGTGTTGCGACTGCGTTTCCTAGGAAAAACGCGTTGACTGTGTCCTCGGATCTCGGCAACAGCTGTTAGATTTGCTACAACGTGTCAGATTCGTTTAAGATCCCTCCCGTGGGATGTTTCTTTGTCATCTACTAAGAAAACTTGGTGTAAGAGATAAGATCAAGATAACTTCTTTCGGTGGAGTCTTTGTTTCTTTTGAGGAGTGCAGAAAGAAATAATGGAAGGAACTTAAAAGTCTCGTTGACTTCGTCAGAACAATGACTGCACTCGAGTTCCATTAAAAGAGAAAGGAAGAACGTAATAATATTACACGTATCTATCAAAAATTATTTTTTACTTAGGAAATAAGAAAAAACTAATATGAAAAACAAAAGAAACATGAGAAAAACACACTCTATATATAAATATTTAGAAGTAATTTATATTATGTTATTGATGATGAAAAATATCATTGACGTTTTGATTAGTTCGATATTATCGGACTCATATATGTAGGCTTATTTAACGTGTTTTCAAGGTGAAATATTAAGTTCCTGAAATGCCACTGTTGGTAGGGATTTCTCGATCCTATCCATTCAATGTTAAAGTTAGTAATCCGAAATCTAAGACTATTAATAGTAAAAAGAAAATCTTTCTATTCATAATAGTGAAGATGAGCCTACGTACCTTCATGCTGACTGGGGCAATGGGGACCCACATATGGGTCCCAGCAGATCGTCAACAGGGACCCACGATAGCTCAACGGCTATAAATTTTAAGACCCGAAGTGGGCCTGATCGAGTATCGGCATATCAGCCTGTTTAAGTGAGACGTCGGTGGATCCGAAACAGAGGTGTCTTAGAGCGCCCATGGGCCGAGCGAAGTGGCGCGGGTGGCGGAGGCTCCTTCGAAGCGGGCGGCGATGGACGCGGGAAGGGTGGCATCCGGCTTTGGGCGCTCTTGTTGGCTGCGGATGCTCTTCGACGATCCAAGGAGACGTCGATGCCCTGGCACATCCAAGATCCTCGGACACGGTAATTATCCCAACCTATCTTTAGTAATCCGTTTGAAGGAGTAGGGTTTTGGCATGTATCGGTGATTGTTAATTCGACCGAAGAACCAAGAATGTGCTTTGTCATGTTCTTCTAAATCTGGAGTTCTTTATCGAATTGAAGCCATATCTGGTTTTACTAGCGAGCAACAGATTTTCTTTCCTGCTTTAGGGGGAAAAAGGTTGATTCTTGACAGAATTTTTGGTGTCAGAACAAGCTCCTGGTTTCTCTCCCTGAAATGAGTGTTATAACTCATGGTGTTGATGGCTAGAAATGCATGAGGAGTTGAGGCATTGGGGCTTTTAGGTTTTGCTGCGTCATTCAGTGCCTCGACGGAATGCACCAGCCTTCCGGGGAAGGTCGATATATTAGAATAAGTAGAGAAACTAACTCCGAAACTCAAACCTCGGTCACCTAGATTGCAAAGAGTGGCCTTATTATTAGTTCGTCAAAATTCATGAGTTCCTTCATAACATTGTCATTGACAACCACAAGGGAGACAATACTGCTGGACTGATTGATATCTTTTTTTTTTTAATCTTTTTAAGGTACTTTCACCTATTAATTATTTTAACTTAGGTTATATAAGTTCCAAAAGACTAATGTTGATGGAAATTTTATAGGCAAACACAGGGTGTCAAATAGAAATGCCAATTCAGGAAATGTAAACCATAACTTCAAGAACTGTAGGGCGTGAATGAAAAATCTCCCTTTTTTTTTTTGTTGCAGATGAATAGTAATGGATTGTTCCAGTTAGAGAAGCTGTTTGAAGTGCATGTGCTTATTGTTGCACTAAATTTTACTTCTGTTTTTTTTGTTTTATAGACTTAGTCTTGAATGAATGATTCACTCGATTTGGATCGGTTTTTCTTATTGAGTACATTTCTCAAAATATGATTGTTATCCAAATAGAGTAGTATTGGGTTATCTCTTTTAATGTATAAAATTTGTTTTTGCCATATTTCTCCTGGTACCAGAATGCACACACCTCTGGCGTGACTTGGAAAACATGAAGCGAGCACTTCTGTTTGGAGTCCCCCATATTTGATTCTACCATGTTCATTGTCTGATTGCATGTCATGCATCACGTAACTGTTTCACAAACTGATGTTTTGTTCAAATTTTTGTTATGATCTTGTCATTCCTGCTCAAAGGCTTTATCATTGCCATTAAAAACACTTTCTGGGTATGTTTGTAATGTTCAGATTCATGGCTCTTTATTATTTATAGAAGCCTTGGAGAAGTTGTTTATCATAACATGTGGGAAGGGATGATCATGAGTTTTCCAATTTACTCGGAGTCCCCCATATTTGATTCTACCATGTTCAGTGTCTGATTGCATGTCATGCATCACGTAACTGTTTCACAAACTGATGTTTCGTTCAAATTTTTGTTATGATCTTGTCATTCCTGCTCGAAGGCTTTATCATTGCCATTAAAAACACTTTCTGGGTATGTTTGTAATATTCAGATTCATGGTTCTTTATTATTTATAGAAACCTTGGAGAAGTTGTTTATCATAACATGTGGGAAGGGATGATCACGAGTTTCCAATTTACTCGATAAATTTTTAGCTTATGTTTGCATTTATTTGCTTTTCCAGTGTGTGATGTTTTCTGAAGCTAGAATAGTATGTTTTTCTGATGAATCAAGATACTGATAATGAGATCTAGGTTAGGTAAATGTTGTTCTTTGCAAAGTTCAATATTTAGTTCATAGTTTGCTTGTATCTGCTGAAATGGTAGTTCTTTCTTCATTTGTTGGATATTCCTCTCATCATGCTCGTAATCTTTTGTTGCTTCGTCTTCATCTTGTTGATTTGTCATTGTACTAATCAGTATCCAACCCCATAAATGACATTGTGTGGGCCTCAAGACTACTACCTAAACCATTGGTTGTTCTCGAGCATGAGCAACATTGTGCAGTAGGTTCTTTCTTTATCATCGAACAGGATGAGCTTTCAACAAGTTCAAGAGACTTAGAAGTACCCACTTGTGTGGTCAGTAGCCACTGTGGATGCATTATTAATGAGAAATAGTCATGAACCACCTAATCATGATCTCATTCCTTTTATTTTGAGAAGAGACTCTTCAGCAGACTGTTCTCCCTTTGGTAGTTCTTTTTGCTATTAGATGTTTTAAGCTAACATGGCATTACCGACGAAAAGTGGCCATATCATTCCGAAAGTACCATGGAGAGTCATGAATGCGTTTTGGGCTTTCTTGTGTGGTACTGGAAAGGAGAGATTGCAAGCCTTAGTTTGACCCTTGGATTGTGATCAAAGAGATGACATAACTAGCAATGCTTATGCTTTCCCAGATACTGTTTGTTGTATAGTTTAATTAGGGTGAGCTCAAAAGAAGTCTTTAGATGTGGCAATCTTCCCTTTAAGTCAGCAATTGCTGCAGCTTCAGCTTAGTTGGTGCTTTCTAGCTCTGTTATAAAGCAAGGCAAACATATTTTTATAGTTCTTGTACTTTTCATTGATCAGATTGCATCTAACACATGGGGGTTGAGTGGGTTCTTTATTTGGATGTCTGTGTTTTATGCATGGGAAAGTAGCAAAATGCAAAAAAAATAACATGTCAATTTGTCTTTGTTCTATATGTCTTATGGTGTCATCTCACTTTCTTTTATTAGGCTGATGCTACTAACAGTCCAAGCTAATGCATTGTGGAATTTAGGTTTCTGCAAAGATGGTGGACGTTCAGTTGCCAAAAGCAGGTAAATGTCATTTTCTTAAAGTTGTACATTCTCTGCATTGTCTCTAAGTTGCATTGTTATCAAACTCGAACTAAGTTGCACAGTTAGGGCAACGATTTAACAAAGCCTTAGGTTATCGAAATCGTCTAAGTAGAAAAAGAAAATGAGGGTGAAAATAGTTGATGAGAGAGAGAGAGAGAGGCGATAATAGTGGCTAATGGAGAATAAAAAATACAAAATAAGACAAAGCTATAACCAAAGTGTTGAACATAACAAAAGAGGAGAGATGAGAGAGGAATTCAATATTAGTTATAGAAGAAAACTTGATTTTTTTTTCTTTTGCTAATGATAGGAGAAATATAATCAATAAATTATCATCTAACATGTGGTAATCATATGACATAAGAGAGATTAAGATCTATCCCTTTGGTTTGAACATGAGTCTAAAGGGGAGGTTATGAGTTGTCTCCCCCCTTACGTGAACATGAGTCCAAGACGTACATCTGAACTATGTTAGGTTGATTAAGATGTCATCGATTTTTTTTTCAACACTAAAAAAAAATGATTCAATACCTTAAAAAGATTAAACTTTTATATGTAGGGATGCTTTATTTGTTACGGAATCAAAGATGATTCAATTAATAAGCTGGACCTATCAAAAGCTTGATTTATTATTATTTTTTAGATCAAAATGATGCATCCAGTTCAGATTTGATAACTATGTTGAGTAGCCACCATACCCCATATATCTGCTCTAGGAATAGTTCTCTCTATGCAAATTGAAAGCTCTCATGAAACCTTAGAAATACGTGATTGCATGAATTTAATATTTTGAGCTTTAGAAATTGTAATTTTACACCTGACAAGATCGTCTGCCTGTAACTATTTGCAGGAATGAGAATCCTACTTTAGCTGCATAAATCGTTCCTTTCCTCTCCAATGCTTTGTTCTATTGTTAGAACCAGGTCAATAGAAACACCCACTCTCGAAGAGTGTGGTCACAGTGTTGTGTGCCCTGTTTTACTTCTCCTTGGAAGTACCTGTTCACCACCATGATTGTCAGGTAGGGAGACCCGGGACTGTCAGGGATCAGTCAGTGCCTCCAAGCACCTTACAGCTTTCATAGTTGGTGGGAAGGGTAAAACCACAACACAAAAAGCCTCTGCACACCAGATGTCGGCAGTGGGATGATGACCAGCCCTCCGATTCAGGTGGGAACGAGAGACTTTAGCTGAGGACATGGTGTAGGGGAATAGGTGTCACCGTACATCCTTTTAACCTTCGGAAACTAAGCTGCTTTGACGGGGGAAAAGGCACAGTCATCGTCGGAGAGGTCAGAGACGTACGTCTCTGACTTCAGTGTCGAAAAAAGTTGTTCTTAGGTTGAATCATATGGTTAAAGTTCATAGCAAGGACACTGTGCTTCGTTCTACCAAAGACTACTTGAGTTCCTGTGTGACCAGACCTTACTCGGAAGGACGAAGCATCGTCACACTTGATTCGATGTGTGCAACAGAAGCTCACAGGATAAGTTCAGTAACAAAGTCGAGAGGAATAGGTAGATGACAAAGGTTCGACGGTCTTCAGCAGCAGCCGAACGTTGTTGCTCTGTAGGCCCACTCTTCTTATACCGACACCCTTTGCTATGTTGCTCCAACACCTAGGAAATCTATAAAGGGCAGCCGAGTTTTCTCCCTCCCATGTCTTTTCTGACCATGAGCCAAGGCATTGCGCATGTGGTAGGCCACCGGTCGAGCGCCATGAGAGAAAAAGCTACCACCGGAGTCACCCAGCTTCTCATAAGATGCATTTCTTGCTGCTGCCACCACCTTTTCATCTGACCCTGCATAAAAGTAACGTGGATCATTCATCGGAAGTGGATGGTGATTGATGTAAAGCAAAAGTGACACCTAGCCACCTTTCGACGAGGGACTTGATGAGCATGGCATAGCTTGAAAGTCGAAAAATAATAAGAAACACAAGAATATGAATTTAAAGTTTTAGACTATAGTGAGAGTATGGAGAAGAGGTCATACCATCGAGCATGTCAAAAGAATGCGGCTGCTGGGAGGGACTTCTTCGTCTGTTGAGGAAGCTGGGAGCAATCCTGCTGGTGAGGGAATTGAGAGAGAGGTCCGTGCAAGTGGAATCACACTCATCTCTGGTGCCACTGATGCCCGATTCACCACTGCATGCATTGTTGCTGGTGCTGACCTCCTTCCTCCTGGGGAGGGCCTGGGCCTGAGATGGGAAAAAGATGGGGGAGCGAGCAGGTGGGTTTCGGCTCCTACGAGCATTGGACTGCTCCCTCTGCTTCCTGGCCATGATCACATGCCAATGGTTCTTGACTGCATTGTCTGTCCTGCCAGGCAAGAGCCTGGCGATCTGTGCCCATTTGTTCCCGTAAAGCCTGTGGGCAGCTAAAAGCCTCTCCTCTTCTTCCTCGGAGAATGCTTTCCTATTGATCCTTGGGTCCAACTGGTTGAACCATCTCAGTCGGCAGCTCTTCCCTGCTCAAAATCAAATCCATAAACAAGAAGAAACAAGACCGATAAGAATCAGCAAAACTCACCAATATATAGACTGGATTAAACTAGAAAAGATCAGAATATTTCTTTTCCTTCAAGTACCTGATCTTCCCTCGAGTTTCTCAGCAATCAGGTTCCAGTTTTGGGGGCCATATTGAGAGACAAGCTCCTTGAGCTTGGCATCCTCGGCTGGCCTCCAATGGCCCCTGGCGCATAGCTTGTGCTGCTGTTCCGTCTCATGGATGATACCATGACCACCTTCTTCCTCCTTGCCTTTGTTGTAGCTCTTTCCATTCTCAGGATTCTCATGCCCCTCCATAACTGCAAGAAAGGTAGGTGGTGCTGCAGGGAACAACTCCATTTCACCTGCGTGCTGCAGTTCGTAGGGGGCCATTTCTTTCCTTTATTTATAGATCAAAGGCCCAAGATGCTCAGATGAGGGGTACAAAGATCTGAGCAGGAAGCAGAACCAAGGTTCAGAAGAAAAAGGAAGAACACCAAGACAACGCAAGGAGGAGCTGAACAGATCCTATGACAGGTTTAAAGACAAAGAGGCCTCAGAATGAGAAAAGGAGGGATCAAACCGAGGAGTCGTTCGGTATTCATGAAGATGGCAACTCAAGGACTGCAGAGAGAGTAACACTTCCTTCGGTGGAACAGAGACCCACACGAGTCTCTCTCTTCTCTCAGTGCGTGTTGTTCTCGTGCTTACTTTGAGACTGATATATAGCTCAGAGGTGTCGACACCGGTGGTCGCAAGCACGGGTTCAATGGAGAACCACTCGTGTGGGCATAGGAGTTCGAGTCCATCATCCCCCACACGCTTATAGCTGCCTCTGTCCCTCTAACCCTTGGCAAAGCCATCAGAACTTTCTCTGTCTCTTTGCAATCCCCACTGTTCTTGCTGTTCTAAAGTAGCTAAGAGAAACTGTAGAGTCAGTAACCATTGTGCCCATTTGTGTTGCCATTTTCCATTCGCTACGACATCTGTTCACTGCAATCTGTACTGTGCTTTTGAACTTTGTTCCTGTATTACACCTCCATGCTCATCCTTTCTTATTTCTCTCCCTTAAACCCAATATTTATGTACGTGAGTGAAAGAATTTACTGCTAGTCAATCACATAAATGATTGACTTATTATGTATTTGATAAGACATATATTTGTAATGTTTATAGATATGTGTAATGGAAATCGAATGGTATTTGATAAGACATATATTTATAATGTTTATAGATCTGTGAAATAGAAATTGGATCGAGATAAGATTATGATAATGATATCGATTCACTTTTAAATATAATTCTTAAATAATCCCGATCGTAAGTTATTCAAGAGGGATATCGAGATAATCTGATAGACTATGTATTGTATACATGTTCATTTGATAGAGGCAACTGGTCTCATAGTTGTTCATTTGATAGAGGCGACAGGTGCTCATTGGAGAATGAGTTCACTGATTAATCCTCTCATGGAATGCTAGATGGTTAATGATATCTCATAGTCAAATAGTAATTCTATCGTACTAGTGGAATATTTGGTCCTTAGATTTGAGATATAAATGATGTCCGTGCTCATACTAGACTTATAGACATAGAAGTTTCAGATCTAGTACAACTTGTCATCAAGAGTGACATGCAACTTTACGAGAGCTATTGAGTGTCAATAGAGGATCATTCACTCTCGGTGCCATGAGAGGAATATTCTATGTGTTCTTGCTCAAGAAAAATATCTAGCTAGTGTCATTTGGATTGAGAGAGAGAATTTTTCGGGATAATTCGATTGGAACGAGACTCGAGTAGATTCCGTATGGACTTAGCAACACCATGCTTGGTATACGGTCTCTGAGATATTAGATGAATGAGGGACTATAAAAACACGGTAACTGAGGATAAACATGTCCAATTGATTGGATTCTCGTATCGTTTGGCGACTACGACGTAGTGACATAGTACATCTACAATCGATGAGTCGAGTGAATTATTATGAAGATAATAATTTACTGAGTCAGAATGAGTTCTGATAGATATGACTCACGACCAGCTCGATATTGGGCTTGGAGGGTCACACACATATGGTAAGTGTTGCGATGAGTAGAGGTTCAGTTATGAGATATTCGCTAGAAATCCTATCTTATTGGATTGCCAATAAACTCATGAATTATTGTATCATATGAATGAGATCTAATAAGAGCCAATGAGATATTATTATGTAGAGACCCACTAATCTAAGAGGCTTGGGTAGTTGGATGGAGATCTAGTACCCAATAGAATATGATCCATTATAGTTAAGTTGATATGGGACCTCTATAAATAGGAGGGAACTAAAGGGCCATAAGTCAAACCCTTTTTGGCTGCCACCTTCTATTCTCCTCTCCTCTTTAGTTAGTAGCCCATATTTGGGGCGTGTGGACAGCAAGAAGGGTCGGTCCCTTCTTGATTGCGTGGTGCATGTAGCGAAGAGATTTGAACAGCAATTTGAGGAGCATTTTCGTAGCTCATACCGTATGAATCACCGCTAGAGAGGATGACAGTTATCTCATTCATCTTTTCTCATGGATCTGTAAGTTTTTAGGGATATATGATCTCTCTATTTAACACATCTTTCTTATACGTATAGTTTTGATTTTGTAGATTTTTACGCATCAATTTTTCACACGAGGATGAAACCTTTGTTTCAACGAAAAATTCTAAAATTTTTTATTTTTTATTCTTTTGCTGCCCATGTAATGTCATCTCAGATTTTTCAATATTTATATCTTGAATGAACCCAATCAGATTCTTGCGATTGCGATTTAACCCAATGAATTTACCTTCTCCGAGAAGTCAGTACTTTGGTCTCAAATATAATGTTGTCTTTGTGCTTTAGCACAGTTTGATGCCAAACCTTGATTGATACCCAATCGTTGGATATCGTATTAACAAAGGAATAGCTCCTTTTGACTGGCATCATAATCTTGCTAGTGCAAACCAAAATAAATCTGCCTTATCGAAGAGCAGCTACCACACACCCAAAGCGTATGGTCACCTCATCCCTCTTTTCCGACATACTGCTTTTGATGAACAGTTTCCAGCTTTGCTGTGATAGACTACAAGACATTAAAGCAAAGCAGAATAAGTTCTAAAAGAAATCATGCCACTTTGCCATTTTGATGACATTTCCATGTAATGTCATGTTAGCTAATCATTATCTGTGCTAGATAAAGTGGTGCAGGCATGTTAATCATGTTTCTTATATCATCTATATTAAATGTGGTGTACTTTGCTTCTTATCTCCTTCAACTTGCAGCTAGCTGCTACCAAACATATATGTATATTCTTTTTCTTAAGGTGAGAATATTTATATTTCTTCTTTTTATCTTTCATCTTATCCTCTGTTGAATCTACACTTGATTGTGGTTAGTGTATGGAGATCCTCATATGGTTAAACTCAACATATAGTAGCATTTCTTTTGTCGAATAATTAGATGAAAACCAAAATGAAGAAAATATTAACATTGGTTACGTGGCAGCTAACTCTGCGGCACAAATCGACATGAAAATTTCATTCGATGCATGCAGCAAAGTATGTATTCTACGTTTTCTGCAGAAGGATTGTGGAGAGCACTGTCATGTAGCGGTAGCGAGATCACAGTCTCAGCTGCCATTACGGTGAATGCATCGGAACTGCTTGGGAGTGCGTGCGAAGGTAACCTATCATCTTCTCCGTTTTCCGTCACTTGATCACCTCACCGTCGTGCGGTTTCTCTTTTCTTTGATTCATCGTTTCAGTGTCATCCGTCCGTCCGCGAGAGCACAGCTCACGTCTGCTCGAGGAGGCAACGAGGACCGAGGTATGATTTATGACCCTCTCTAACTTCTCTTCATATCAATCAGCAACACTAAGGAAAGGGAAAAGAAGCAAGTTTTCATAGATGATAAGATTAGTTGCGTGTCATTTTCTCAATCGGATGGTTGGCTGTCCAACTTTAATCATTTAATTGCTAAGTTCCATATCATATACGTGATAGAAGCGGCAAATTAGGCGGTGTGTGGAAGAAGGTCTTGCATTAGAAAGAGAAGGCATTTGGGCACATCGTCGTCTACATGGTCACATTATGTTTCTCGCTTTACCCCTTTGTTGGACCCCATGCATCATGATGACATGAACGGACAAGTTACTACTAGCATTCCTCGAATCGCACCGGTAGGTGACCTTAAAGAAGCTCTCGGACCACCGCCACACATGGTGGGATTTTGCTCGACTTTACTTGGGGACAGCAAAATCCAAAATCTGCCGTAGGATTCTCCCATGTCAGTTAGTTGAAGCTGTCCCGTCTCTCTCTCTCTCTCTCTCTCTGTGTCCGAGAAAAATGATGTGACATGCATGCAAGGGCAGCCATTGATGAACCAGGACAGCCTGCCTTCATCTCCTCTTCCATTGATGCCATCACACATCCAACTCAACCTCAAATTCCCATTACAAAAACAACAACAACAAAAGAACAAAAGACTATTCAAACTACTTTCTGTGACTTGTTAACTTTAACAAAGTATGATGTAGCCAAAGGAAGAGAGAGAGAGAGAGAGAGAGAGAGAGAGAGAAAATTCCACAGACAACATCAACACCCATCTCTATCATCATTGTTACCACAAGAGCCAAAAGAACCACCATTCTTTTTCCATTACAAAAGGGCACACGTTTTTCTCCCAAAAGTGTCCTTTTTAATCATCTCCAATTTCACATGCTTCTCCTCGTCATTAGTTGCCTAAATCCACCTATATTTAATTATATATTTCCTCATCAAGTATTTTTAATCTAAAACAAGCTTGTGTTCTTCAAATTAATAAACTAGTGATATTTCAATTACCTAACTTTGAATTACCATATATGCTCTTCAAATATTAAAATCTTCCACGCATGAATTTCCCATTAAGATGCACATATATATATATATATATATAAATAAATAACCATAGCATATTATGTAGGAATAAAAAGTGTTGCTATTAATAAAATCAACATTTTTGCTCTGAAGAGTCAAATGGAAAGATTAAATTGGCCAAGATTTTCTTCTCAACATAGGAAAATGTGTCATGAGAGCTAACATCATGGACCTCTTTCCTACATATTTCTTGAGGGGGAAATGATGGTCGATGACGGTGGAGCCGAATCCCTTTTGGTGCCTTAATTTATTGCGCGTGTCGTGTTTCTTTAATGCAATGTGGCAATGGACTTGGACACAACATTTTGGTGCAACAAAGATATGACACCAATCTTGCACTAAGCCTCATATATATATCTATATATATAGTCGGAAGACTCTTTGCTTGATTGCAACCGTGATTGATGTGCATGATTGGGAGTCACTTTTTATTTTCCCCCTCATCGCTTATCTTTGAGTTCTAATGGTCGCAACTTCCGGTCGGTGAGCACGCAGCTCGATTGAGAACATTGCAATGTGGTCCTTCCCCCACCCACTACCAATTGTTTTGGATAATCCTCTAAAAAAAAAAGAGAAGAAATTCATGGATATTAGGTTTACACGTATTGTCTAAGGTATATCCAAGGTATTTGATCAACCTGTTGAGTCGATTTGTGATTTGGGACAACACCTAAACTTTCGGTTTGGATTTATTGGTTGATTAAGGGTTAGTGTTGGGGTAAATCTCATTTAAGATAAGTATATATATTTTTTGATAAAGGGTAAGTGGCGAAGACGAGATTCTAGTCCAAGATGTTACGATAATCTATCAAGATCGGCCAGCATCTTCAAGAAATATCAGATGAGATTTTTAACCTTTAATCTTTCATAAATAGATCTAGTATGTTATCATAAGACCAAATATATAAGGTGTGCCAAATAGATAAATAATTATATTTTTAATTTCTTATGGAGTTGTAGAAATAATATTCTTTCCGGTAAGGCATCGACCTTTATGGATGAAATTTATATTGCTAGCAAGAATATATAAATCTTATTTAAGATGGGTATATATATTTTTGATAAAAGGTAAATAATAAAGACGAGATTCGAGTCCAAGATCTTACGATAATATATATCTTTTTCAATCAAGTTAACTAGCACGTTTCAAGATATATCAGATGAGATTTTGAATCCTTAACCTTTGATAAGTAGGTAATATATCATCATCATCATCAGACCAATATATAAAGTGTGATACTTAATTTTATTTCTAATTTCTTGTGGAGTTGTAAAAATGATATTGGCATTGGCCTTCATATGGATGAAATTTATGTTGCTAGCAAGAATATTTATACTGATTGTTGTGCAAGTTTTCTTTGTTGAATATTGGAATGTGATGTCCCATTTACAACAGCTAATACTTTTGCAGGTACAAAATATGTGTTGACAGTGTTGTGATTGTTATCCAATGCAAATCTTGGAAGGTCTCCAACGCTCTAATGGCGGAAGGCTTAGCACTTTTGGATAGCTTAAAAAGGAACGTCGAAAGAGGCGTCGTTATAGCCCTTTAGTTTTCGAAGGCAACTATGTGAATGATAGATAGCTCTTTGGTGGTGAACGAAATTTCTCTTTCATAAAAAAAGAGGAAAAAATCTCGAGCTTAACCGAATCCAAAAATAGATCCGTCCAATCTAATCTGACCCCAATGATGAGTAGTATCCGAATCCAATCTAATGTCTTCTTAGTGAGCCTCGTTTTATTTTGGGGTCAAATTTGTATGGAGTTATTGGGCTCAATTGTGTGTGTGTGTCCAATGGGCTTTTGAGGTGGCCCGGAATTGGCCTGTTTGATCCCACCACTGACCCACCAAATGATTCTACTCTATTATTTACTTACATACATACAAACATACATATTTCAATGCTTGATGCGAAGAAGACAATTGTGATTCGTGTATGGGAAGGAATCACTTGATTCTTGTGAATCTTTCAATGGAAAGATGGTGGCGGAGGTAGGGTGAGTCCTTGGCGTCATCTTCCTCCCTCCTCGTTCATCCCCATGCTGTTTGCTGTCGAAGATGTCTGTACGCAAACCATCGATACATGGGATCGATCATATGCAACAATCAGTTTTAGTTGCGTTAATGTCAAATATGGTTATTTGTAGTGTCGGACGAAGTCGATCCAATCGAGGTCGGTTGGATCGAATCTATTGCTCATTGAAAACACAATCTTATTCGGATATCCGACTTGTAGATATTAGCATCGAGGCAAACTTGATGATGAGCTCTTATCGATGTTCAAGTTAGTCGATAATTACGAATAAGCAGGTAGTGTTCAAAAGTAAAAGGTCAGAATTTTGATCTCTGGGAAGGTTGAAAAGAAAGAGAATAGTTCTTTCTTCTTCTTCTTCTTCTGTCCTCCAAAAGAGGGAAGAAAGGAGGAGAGAACGTTTCTTGAGACCACGAGCGTCACTTCAGCCATGCAAGAGGGGAACATGCACCATCCTCGAAACTGAAATCTAAGTCCTGGTTGCTTGTGTTGGCCTGGTGGAAACACCCTCAGCCTCTACCCCTACCACCTACAAATCTACTGCTACATGTATATTTATTCTGTAGGGGGAGGGAGAGAGTCACTTCTGGTTGGGTGCTCCCCCAGCCTTGCATGAATGATGGAGTCTTATCCATCACCCTCACCAAAGCGGCAGCTGTGTCCTCCTCATACCCTTCTTGGACGCATCCATATTGATCGACTCCATGTTCTCGGTTGACAAGAAGATGTGACCACGAATTCAGCCACCCAAAAGTAGAGCTCTGCGAGAAGATTTTGTGGATGTCGAGATGGTGGAAGAGCCAAGTTGTGTCTCATTTTACATGCAAAGTTATCTATCTCATTTGATGTAATTTTTATACATTATAGTAATGAGCTCAAAGATGCACTGTTGATGATAGTAAAAAAGAGAAATAAATTATGAAAAGAATGATTTTTTTTTATAGGTTTTAAGGGAAATATTTCTCTCAATCAATCACTCAAATCACGTTATCAAATCAGCTATTTATAATCGATCCTTAAATCATATATTGATTGAGGATATAAGGAAACAGAAATATTATTCTATGTGTGTCTTTATCATGATCTTTTATAATGATGATGTTGAAATAGCTAATGGACAATTTTAGATCCAAGAGCAACTCATTTATATGCAATTTGGATTGATGATTTAATAAACTCCTAAGAGGGTATCAAAATACTCTTTAAAAAAAGATCATATCCACATATGCCAATTGCTACTATCCAAAGATCGATATTGAAGAACATATCGAGAAATATATGGAAACTTATTTGATATGTCAAGTGAGAATATGAGTTATAGAAGTTAACGATTTTTTTAAAGTCTATTTATATCGAAGTAATTATCGGAGAATATATCATCGGACTTCATATTTGTGTCGTGTCGAGTATGTCTTTGGGTTTATCGGTCAACCGATTGTCAAAGTATGCTTGGAAAGATGATGTGGATTACGATACCATGCTTGTTTTTATTATGTTTACTAGCAATTTTGTTAGAGGAGAAATACCACCATGGATATTTAATTGGAGCTGATAAAGAACATGGATTACATACATCCAATATAGCTTGACTGAGAAAAGACAAATAAAATCAGCATATAGGGATGTTTAATCATCTTCTCATCACAATATGAAGCAATAAATACAATAGCATTTACCAAAAAGAACAAGTGATGTTTTATATCAGACCTTGAGAAGCACCACAACCTTAAAATTAGGCTCTCAAGTAAAAGACAATCTAAACATCAAGTTACTCAAGTATCCGAGTGATATGAGCAGCAATACAACATCTCTCAGCTCAGCTTGTTCTTGAAAGAAGACATCCATTGCTACTCCAACCAGGAGAGTAACTGAGACCATATCATCACATCACTGCTATTACTTCAGATGTTCATTACTGGGTCATACTACCTTTCTGCCACTCTCCTTAAGTATGCAGAAGCATCCATTTCCTTGGTAGCAGACAGTTGTTTCATGAGGTGAATGCATGCTAAGGCTGTGGAAGTAATGATCATGATCTATCATAAAAAATCTACTTGCAGAAGCATCCATCGAAACTGATCACTATCTATCTTTAGAGTTCCTTTGAACGGACGGACATAAGAGAAGGTTAAGTTTCAATCACTCGATCATATATATATATATCTGAGCTGAGTCGTCAAAATGTAAAGCTACAAGGAATTAATCAGATCAAGACAAGCACAGAGTTCGAGTTTGATGCTGAAGAGAAGCTACAGATGGCACAGTTGCCATGGAAGGGGACAAACGCTAATTAAAGGCCTTCAAACCGAACCGAGCCTCCTTCCGCGGCATCGGTTTCTGCTGTGACTAAAGATGGCCAAACCTTTTCCCTCTCTCTCTCTCCCACCAACATGTTATTATATTGTGTGCTTCCTGTCTCTTTCTTTGCATCAGCCTTCCTTTCTCTCGTGTTCGGGGTTCCATCGTTTGCTCTCCACTGAGGACAAGCCCATGCTACGCCAGCCCTAATAAATTGGTGGTGCTACTCTTTGACCATTTCTTCCTTGAGGACTTCCTACTTCGGGATATAAACAGCAGAAAGAAGTAATAACATCATACACTTTAAACATTAATCCTTATCGAAGCTTCAAGTTTTGATACGTTTGAGATCATACCAATGTCATCATATACCATCCATAAGATCTTGTGTGGGTGAACGCTTGACGCATCTCTTTTCCTTCGCATCACTGCTTCCGGTGACTTCGGTTTCCTTCTTCGTCGCTCCAGCTGCATGCCACTTCGGCCATGGAAGACAGTAACCGAGGCCACAACAACAGCTCCAGCCTGCAGAGATCTGCTCCTGACGGCACCGTCACCGGGCCCATGCGCACCCGGTGGACGCCGAAGGCCGAGCAGATCCTCATACTGGAATCCATCTTCAACAGTGGCATGGTAAACCCTACCAAGGACGAGACCGCGAGGATCCGCAGGCTTCTCGAGCGGTTCGGCCCGGTGGGAGACGCCAACGTCTTCTACTGGTTCCAGAACCGGAGGTCGAGGTCCCGTCGCCGCCAGCGCCAGCTGCAGGCGAGCCTCGTGGCCGATCCTAGAGCTGCAGGAGTCGCGCAGCAAGTAGGCGGTGGAGTTCAGTCTTCTTCTGCTGCTTCTTCTTCTTCTTCCTCCTCCGCCGCCAACGTCATGTTGATGGATGATAGCGCCCAATATCTCTTCTCGATCTCTCGCCAGATGGGACTCATGGAGAACACTCAGTCTCCCGTCGTGCGCTCTTCTGATGTCTCGCAGTTGCACAGTCAACCTGGTTAGTGCATGGCTGCCTCTTTCTGGATTTCTCATAGTGGTGTGGGACATGACAACCAGTGATGGACTCGACAAGTGAAACAAACAACAGACATACAACCTTAAATCTAAGCAAACCCTTTTCTTTTCTTTGTTTCAAGGACTCACTACTCTTCTTGTACTGAGGCATCGACTCTTCTGTCGATGACAAAAATTGATTGACCGACTGCTCGATCGAACTTGTTTGGTCTCTTCTGTTCATTTCACCGCTAGATTTCCAGATCTGAGCATTCAACATCACAGATCCATCTAAATTTTGGATTCTTGAGCTTGAGAAGCTCAAGGTAGTCACCAACTTTGGGTTTCGGATAGATCTTTTGTATGTTGAACTTTTGTCTAGCATGTTCATGTGCTAACCCTAAATCAACAAACTTTGGTTCTTCCTATTGTTTGATTATTTAAAAGCTACTCTAAGTTTTCCATGAATCATCACAGTTTATGCTTAAGATGAACTCATTTCCTCCTACATCCACATGAACCTTCTTCTTCCTTTTGAGATGATATGTAGATGAGATGCATCATTGCAGGAACCGTAATTGTGTTCATCGATGGGGTGCTTAACGAGGTTCCAAGCGGACCTATAGACCTGAGAGCTATGTTTGGTCAAGATGTGCTGCTTGTCCATTCCTCTGGGGAGCTGCTGCCTGTCAATGAGCATGGAATCCTTATGCAGAGCTTGCAGATGGGTGAGAGTTACTTCTTGGTGAGTAATGGAACCCAATACACTCTTTATTTATGCATAAATAATGCATTGATATATACCAAAAAAACCCAGATGTAATGTTTGCTTGTTGTTCAGGTCGCAAAGCCTACTTAGAGTGACTTCACTTGGTAGTTTGGAGAGGAAGAGTGCCTTGAGGATTCATGAGGATGTCCAGAGTTTGAAGCTTTTTTCATTGTTCTAGTTATCAATAGGCTGAATTATCAGCATCTTTTGATGTCAAACACATTTGGTCAGAGAAGTTGTAACTTTGCACTTGTTTGAATCATGGTTATCAAGAGACTAAACAAGAAATTGTTGTATTCTTAGCAGGGTATAGAGTGCCTGTTGGAGTTGTTTAATCTACTTGTTACTTGTTCATTCTGTGCTAAGATCATTTAATATTGAGAATATAAATTTAGCTTTTGTGTGTGTTTTTTTTTTAAATAATTATATCTATTTATTCATAGTATTATTAGGGAACCAAATGCTCAGTAAAGAGCTATACTATTATGGACAGGACTTCCATGTTCCATTCTGTCTCAAATGTTTTCATTTGGTACCAGAGATTAAAAATATTATATCATCCTGGACTTTGGCTTTTGTGCTTATTAGATCATGTTTTTTTTTGTGGATAAAAATCCAAAATATTATTAGTATTAACAGCAGTACAATCATACAAGGAGAACAGGGCTAGAAATGCTATCTATGTATGTCAATTGCTGCATTAATTTTACTCATCATCATTGTTATTGTTATTATCTTTCATTTTTTCTGTTTTCCATAGAGATTACAAAATAAAAATCAAATATGAAGGAGACCAACTTGTTTAAAATATATGCCTGCTAGTTGTCTGAAAAATAAAAAAAAGTCTTTTCAGAGGGATGTAACAATAATTAGATCCATTAATCTTGTTAATATATCAAAAAGCACTCTTATTGCTCAATAAGAACAATGAAAAGGCAGCTTTAGTTGAAGCACCAGTAGGCTAAGAAAAAGAAACTGTGTTCTTTAATCTCTTTGAAATTGGCACCAGTGGAAGAGAAACAAAGTTCATACTAATAAGGACTATAACATAGAATTTTATGGTATCTACATATAACTACAATGTCAAGAATCTTGACTTTGTTTTACTGAAATCATAAGAACCAAAAACACAAACCATATCAGCAGAACTGACAGTGAGTTCCTAAACAAAACACAGATTTCCTCAATAATTAGTAGTCTCTGGAGATAATCCAGTTTGTCATTTCCATAGGAACAACGAGCTTGAAGTTTCCATGTAGTTCTTAAGTATCTGATGCCACCACTGCGAAGCTAGCGAACCTTCACGCTTCATTTCTTCCTCTCATTCTGTACAGTTCGCATGGTATATAAACTACTCTGCTCCCGGGCTGCTCACAGCAGAGCTTCCGCTTTAAGATTCGTGCAGGCATCGATATCATTTGTCATGATTCAATCCGATGCGATGACGCATCAACTTCGAATTAAGAGTCTAAATTAGCAATAATTGACTAACTACGCAATTAGTCAACAATCCGTATATACTTCTTCATCCTTTAATTTTATTTTGTTAAATTACATTATTTGTCACAAAAATAAACCTATTTATATTAATTATAAATAAAAAAATTTAATTTAATCTTAGTTTCTCTTAAAACAATTTTAAACCATTAAGTTTTTGCTTGTTAAATTGATTTGGCTCGGTCACGTGCCCAACACATTGTCTCGCGTGTGGACCCGGCAAATCGAATTAGAAGAAGTGGGTCGGGTCGCACCCGATCAGCTCCCGAGCCCGACTCCTCCACTTCTCCTCCATCCATTCCTGCACATAATTGCCCTATCAGCCGCATCAAGAAAAACCGACGGCCACGATCACACCCGAGACGAAGAATTGCTTCTTGTATACAGATCTCTCCCCTACTCTCTCCCCTCGTCGCAGCGGAAGAGAGACGAAGCTTCTCCTCGAGGGGGACCGATGAGAACCCATCTCCTCCTCCCAGTGTCTCTCGCGATCTCATGCCTATGCCTGTCGTGGATCTCCGGACTCGCTTCTCTCCCTCCCCGCGAGCTGCTTGGAATTGCCCCCGAAGGTGATGATCTCTATTAACCGCATTGGATTCTCTTTTTCTGTTTGATCTCTTATTTTCTTGCTTTCCCTCGATCTCCCGTTCCTGGGAGATTCTTGTGGCCTTTTCGATCTCTTTGGTCCGTCAGATGAGAACTTCTACAAGTCGGACGTGATTAAATGCAAGGATGGATCCAAGAAGTTCACCAAACAGCAGCTGAATGATGATTTCTGTGACTGCCTAGATGGAACCGACGAACCGGGTTAGTGATTCTACGCCGAAATGTTTTGGTTTCTTTCTCGTCTACTTTGCTCGTGTCTGATAAATTCCTTTGTTTTGTGGATTTTGCACGTATGTTAGGGTTCTAGTCGGCAGGGCATTAGCTCAGGTTTCTTTCCGTTCATTTGTTCTTATTCTATTCGACGGTTTTCCTGAATGTATTAGTTTTGGAGCTTGCAGGAACATCGGCCTGCCCAGAAGGTAAATTCTATTGCCGGAATCCGGGTCACATTCCACAGATGATCTACTCTTCTCGTGTAAATGATGGCATTTGCGGTAAGAAGGAAAACAACTGTGTCTCTTTTCCCTTTTCTTGATTTTGGCTAATTTTGCTATTCCAGCTGAAACTTTCTGCTATGACTGCAATGATGCTGTAGAAAACAAATAAAAAATAAAAAGGGATAGATTTATTATTGTTTTTTTTTACATTTGAGGATTGCTTATTTTGGAAGGAATCAGCTTCAGGAATATAGGGGGGATTTATGTACAAGTGTTTATGGGGTTGAAATATGCTTGTTTGTTGTCAAGTACTACATATTGTCGGCTAAAATATGCAGAGTTTCATTGTTGTGTCTTTTATGCATCAATTCATCTGTTTTCCAACTATGTTCAGTTAACCAACAAGACATGTTAAGTTATTGCAGGGTTCTGTTAGACCTGAAAGTCAATTTGTTTGGTTATGTTTGTAAATTATCATGCAATTTTAACCATTTGGAACAAATTTTATTTTAGTTATAATGTGCTGTGTTATACATCTATACCTTTTCCATCTTTTGTTTATCCCTAATAATTTCTCTCTCATTCATGATCAGAAAACAGAGTGAAAGAAGGTGAACATGTGTATATGAATTTTATTTTCAAATAGTATTTTATACGATAACTCCAATAGCCTCTGTCGATAATTGCCTTGTCTTCTATGTAAAATTGTTAGGAGCACATGAAGTCCGATAATACTATCTCTAGGTTTTCATTCTATTCTCTTCTTATGGAAATACCATATAATTTATAAGTTTTATATTTGAAGACTTTTGAAACTTCTTGCCTCTCCACTTGCTCATGTTGTTACATGCAGATTGTTGTGATGGGAGTGATGAATATAAAGGGAATGTGAACTGCCCAAACACATGTTGGGAGGCTGGGAAAGCAGTGTGTGAAAAGTTGAAGAAGAAGATAGCAACACATCAGGATGGATTAGTTATCCGGAAACGGGAAGTTGAAAAGGCAAAACAGGCATTTGCCAAAGATGAAGAAGAATTGTCGAAGCTGAAAAGCGAAGAGAAGATACTTAAAGGACTTGTTGATAAACTCAGAGGTGCAGTACCATTAATACATAAAATGGCACATCCAAGTTCAGTCATTGTTGTTCTGACACTTATTATAATGATTTTGTACATCTCTCAAAAGTTAAGATTACTGTGTAGTTTAAACAATTACAATATTTAATATTCCATGATACTGTTGGATTCAAATTTAAGTGCTTGGCGCTCTCACATTGTCTCACTAGAAAACAATACATAATTAGGTAACACAAACTTTGCTATTTGATTTTACTTGAATGATGGACAGGTCATACTGAATAATTTATCTTTGAGAATGAGTGGAATGTTAACTGCTAATTTATCATTGAGAACTATTTATCTAGGCTGACACTTTCTTTTGTGCAACCGCTGGAACCAACCAACTTGAGTTATGTCAACCACTAGACTGACAATCCATCTGGAGTGGTTGTAATACTCCTAGGACTTCTAAAATCTTTCTTTTAGGATGAAATGTTATTGTCTATCTTGACTTGATCTTCATCAGGACAATATGCTGAACTGAAAAATATGCTACAAGAGGCATTGGTATATTGCAAAACTGATTTGTGGAACTTGTCAGTATTTGGTTTTCTAACAAGAATGAATATAATATGTGAGATTACCATGCAATGTTCCTAGTATCAAGTTTGATTTCACCTTCTACACAGAGCATAAAGAACAAATAGAGAAGGCAGAGGAGGAAGAACGTCTGAAAGAGGAGGAAGAAAAGAAACAAAGAGATGCTGAAAGACAATCAACTGAGCAAAATAAGTCATTGGAGGAGTCTCCACTGGATCACTCTGAGGGTACTCATGACACATTGTTGGAAACGACCAGTCAGGTAAACCTGACATTTAAAATTTCTTTATTATTGCATTTTGCAGTTTGCACCAGCATTAATCTTATCTCATTATCTTATCATTATCTTTTTTGATTCTAAAACCATTTGCCCACAAAGTTTAAGCATTCATGGAATACCTGAGGGCAGTATGTGTTAGGATCAAGGAAGGCAATACTGAATGATACCACCCGGTATGGGCGGTACGTACCGGTCCGACGGCATACTGGTACGCGGCCCACTACCAGGTGGAACGAAAAAAAAAAATTTATATATAAATATTTTAGAAAAAGGCGACGTTCGGCGACGTCGTCTTTTTCGGATTATATATATATATATATATATATATATATATAAATAAACGAGACGACGTCACCCCGCGTGGGGAAGGAAAAGGCGACGTCACCGAGGCGATGCGACGTCGCCTTTTAAATTATATATATATATATATATGTATATATATATATGTATATATATATATGTATATATATATATATATGTGTGTATATATATATATATGTGTGTATATATATATATATGTGTGT